TTCTGCTTTATAGGTATAAAGGTTGTTACTGACTGCTCTTATATTGAGTTTATATTGATAATTGCTTATAATGGACCAGCCTTACTTACTGAATCACTACTGATGTCTATTATTCTTGGAGTACAAATTACCCAAAGTAAATATTGGCTGATGTGCAAGCCATATTCTTTACTGTGGTAGATGTATGCCCCTGAAGACTAGAGGAAGTTCTGGGGATTGTCAGATTGACCATACCAGTTATATTTTTTCACTCCCATAGAGATATATTTCTGAGGACTGGAGAGAGTTCTGAGGATTGTCAGAGTCTGAAGTTTTATGTAAATGTATATGATGTGATGTATTCATATTTGTTGACCATACATAATGATATATTAAATTTCTTTCTTGAACATTACCATGACTACCAGTACTTTCCTGCTATTTGTTATATAGTTATAGCCTCTAAATTCTGCTTTATCAGATAATAAAGGTTGTTACTGACTGCTCTTATGTTGAGTTTATATTGATAATTGCTTATAATAGACCAGCCCTACTTACTGAATTATGACCAATGTCTATTGATGTCTGTAGCTAATCCATTCCAAACTGATTGTATCAGACAGAACCAGCTATAGGATTTATGCAAATGTGATGAGTCATATGACATATGAACATGTGGTTGAGATATGTCATATAACATGATGTATTCATCACATTTCTCTCTGAAATATTCTTTCCCCCACCTCAGGAATGACTAGAAGCCACCAGAATCCTCTGGAACAGGACTAATAGGAATAATCTAAAACTAACTTTGTGGGCTATCACTAATTTTTTGTTGCCTATTAGTATTATTATCCCTTTTAGGGGCTGCACCTTCATTTCCTGTTTGAAGTATATTCAGAGAACTCTGACAGATAGTGGATAATGGATATACCAACTCTCTTTTTTGATTTTTTTGTTGCAATTTATTTATGAAGAACACTAAACTTTGCTTCTTTGGACATGTGCCTAAGACTTACAACAGCACCCAGAAATAATTCTCTTTTTTTGTTTATTTTACACAAATTTATAGATAATTTTCATCTAAAAATGCAAATCTTTCCTTGTTTGGAATTATATACTGGGCCTGGAAAATAACATCCTATATTATGACCACCAGTAATTACTACCTACTATTATTTTCTATTTTATTTTCTTATTTTATTTCTATTTCTGAGTATCTTCTATTAATTACCCTATTTGGAAATATGTCCACAACAGTCTATTATTTTTTCTGTTTTTTTCTAATTTTGTGACTATGTTTGTATTAATTACCATACTGGGAAATGCACACAAACTATATAAGCTAACATTGTCAACAACAGTCTATTCCTTTTTTTTTTCTTTTTTCTAATTTTGTGGATATGATTCTTGCCTGAAAAATGTGCACAGACCATCAACAACACTGTATTACTTTTTTTCTGATTTTTCTGATTTTTTGGCTATATTTCTATTAATTACCATATTAAGAATGATGCACACACCATGTAGACAGTACTCAATATTATTCCCAATGGTGAGCACTCCCTCTATTTATTTCTGATTTTATCACAATTTTTATGTAAAAATGCAATACTTTATTTATTTTGCAATTTTAGCAGTCACAGACTGTCCTGGTATAAATAGTGGATAAGTGCTAAAATCTTTGCTGGCTGGGAAAAGAGATCACATGACTGGATCACATAGTTATATCACATGATACATTGTATGTCATGTCACATGACCACATCACATGACCATTTCACATGACTATCATATGACATGCTTATGTCACATCTCAAAACATATGATATACAATATCTAATTGCCATATTTGGAAATATGCACATACCAAGTAAACAATACATCAACATTATCAATGACCATTTCCATTATGTGATTTTCTTTTCTTATTTTTCTGACTTTTTGGGTATATTTTCAGTAATTACTATATTAGGAAATGTGCACAGACCATGTAAATATTACCCCATCATCACCACCATATTTTTTCTAATTTTATTCTGGTGGTATTCCAAATCTGTGTGGTCTAATGGACTATGTGTGTGTTAAATATGGGAGCTGTCAATGAAAGTCATATAGCAAGCTAGAATGACAATGCTGTGAAGACCCAGCTACAATCTCAGTCACAGGTTGGTCCAAAGAGAGGAAGAATGAAGGGAAGAGACTAGATGCAGGTGTATTTTAGTGAGATTTGAGATTGCTTCTACATGTGGGGTAGTGAGTGAGCTTTGTAGATGGTGGTTAAGGCTATTGTTATATCCAATACTGTATTTCTTGCAGAGGTGGGTGCCATGCATGGCTGGCAGATATGGGATCTTATCCATCTTCTACATTATTTACTTTCCATTGCTTAGCTTTTGTGTCACATGACTCCTTTTCATGCTTGTCAATAGTAGTCGCATGTGACAATTCAACTTCTTTGATCTTTCAAACCACCACTGTGTATACTCAGTGCTAGGAATAATGACATACTGTATTTCTCCTAGAAATTTAGCAAGTGATTTGAGTTTATCAGGCTCACTGAATACTCTTGCAGAGGCATTCAGTTACAGAACAGCATATCTCTCCCATTCTAAGAATTTCCAGAGAAGGAGTGGGGATTGTGCAGTGGAATTCTGAAGCATCCACTACATACTGGTAGAATCTCTCTTGGACTAAGATCTGACTTGTATTTTAGCTAATCACAGCTTGTTATTGTTTTGGCTTGCTATACAACATTCATCAACACCTCCCCACATTTAACATATAGATAGTGTGTTACACATCTATTGGGAGGTGAGGATCATTTAGTAGTGCACTTTATATGCTCATAGTGATCATATAGTTACTGTCATTTGTAGGTAGCATAGACATATTACATGTAGATAATGAACATTGTACATAGGTAATGAGAATTTGTAGGTATGGTATAGGGATAGCATAAGCTTTGTAGGCACCCTACTACTATTATAAGGACATAACAATAACCCAATCCCCACTCACTATCCACATGGAATATGATCACTACCCACACTCAGTGATGCTGATGACACCCAATGGATAATAATAACTAATTAATTGCCAGTCATGCATAATACCCATAATACACACCCACCCTGTAGAAAATTCAGTGCTTATCATGTATTGGTTCTTGATATTACAGTAGATATTCTCACAATGCATATACTCGTAATGCATAAATCTCATAATGCATGACATTTTCAGAGGACCAACTTGGTACACAGGGATTTATGCATGGAACGTCATATTGAATAATGCATATCCAGATCTACAGATTTACTGGGTATTTACCTGTTCACCTCATTGTACCTGAGTTTTTCAGGACCAAAGTCTACCCTGATATACCCTGTGTGCCACAAATACACTGCTCGAGAGTAGTATCCAATTTTGCCAACAATTTTCTATCATTCTATGCCAGCTGCTGAGGAGAAGAAGCAGAAACCTCAAGACAGGCACAAGCCCTATGCACCTTGCGGAGGGCATCAGCAAAAGTTCAGGTTCCACGTTAGACCATAAATGGCCATAAGAGGCACCAATAGGCCATGAAAGGTTCGCCCCCCTTCCATGGCCAAGGTTGGAACCTCAGCTTACATCCCGGGTGATAGGCCTTGCATGGTACCAATTTCTTGCATGGCTATCCGAGATCCTGGCGCCATACGAGGCCATACTAGGACATACTAGCTGACCCTTTCCATACAACCTTGGCTGGATTTTGATTTCTTATTCTATATTCTGATCACTTCATACGAAATATGGGTGAAATAAATCATGTATTTCTTGTAGTATCTGTTACAAAGTCCAAAAAAGATACAAGAATGGCAGAAAAAACACGGGGCAGTTGATACGAGACTGAAACAATGAAGAGCGAAAAAAAAGAAAGGGATACGCACCTGAACGATACAGGGACTGACGTCGTAATCTGTGTATCACGTCCGAAATTTGTATCAGAGGAATTGAGAACTTTTTTTAAAAAAACTGCAAACGGCAACATAAGGCATATGCAGCAGCATTGAAGGTGAAGAAAAATGACTTACGCGTGTTAAACAAAACACATAGATTGGCTGGTGTGAGATGTGGTCCGAGATATACTGATATGGAGTGTTGTTAATAAAGATTAATGGGCGAGACGATGAGATGCACATTTTTCTGGGTAACGCCAGGGCAACTTGAGCAATCCATGGCGCGCTTGAATGGCCTGCACATCAGAAGAGGCACTAACAATGAAACCTATAAGTGCCGACCCCAAATGGGTGCATATATGCATGTCTGGGGGATGAAACAACTTGCCGAATTGACTCGCGCTGTATGAACGCATGGCAATCGAAGAAAAATCAAAGGAGGGATGGCGCATACTCCGAAAAGAGAGATTTCTTATCTTCGCTGAGCATGTTAGGCGAGAGCGCAGAACTAATCACACCACTGATATTCCATGTGAAAGAGGATTGTGATCACGGTGGTATGGAGGCTAGAGAGACGATGAAGATCAGAACTATGTAACACTTCGCATATATGCGCGTTCAGGTGATGGGATTTACTTACTGGTGAACAGGCGGGTGTCTCATCCAAGCCTCGTCTGACATTTGATCAGCCCCACAACTACCGCACAGTTATCAGAAGGCACTGACTACAGCTTTGCCAACAAAAGACTGGCAATGAGTGCCGTAGCATTGTCATGGCCTCTGAGAAGCCCGGAGCCATCGTTACCGCGAGTTGTATCTGTAGTGACAGTGGGGGATGAGAAGGGGGGGAAGGAAGAAAAGGGAACGATGAGCAAAAGGTGGTGGTGGTGATGGTCAAGAGCAGAGAGCAAAGACTAGAGCGCTTGCTCATACGCGTGATAAGTGTCATGTGATCAAACAGATTGAAGTCTGACAGTGATAGAAGTCTGACAGAAGTCCGACATACCTTCACATTACTTTACAGCGTACCATACACATCAAACGACGTCAAGAACCTCGTTCTCTCTATCGTCCCATGCTCATCACAGGCCTTCATGAGCATCTCAAGCTGCACATCACTAACATCTGAAAAGTCTAGCCAACTACCGTCGTCAGCTCGTGCAGTAGACAGCAACAATGACCAAGAAACGTACTTGGCTCCTGTACTCTCTGCGTCTTGATAGAACAACACTCGAGAATGGGATGCGAGAGGCGCTGTTCCGGTGCAGAAGAGGGGATTGTTTGTGAGCGGCGCAACACGTAGGGTGGTTAGCTTGTCGTTGGTCAAGGACAAGGACATCGTGGTTGGGACTTCACCGCTATTCCTGGAGAAATAGGTGGGGCACAGTAAAGTACTGGTAGTCATGGTAATGTTCAAGAAAGAAATTTAATATATCATTATGTATGGTCAACAAATATGAATACATCACATCATATACATTTACATAAAACTTCAGACTCTGACAATCCTCAGAACTCTCTCCAGTCCTCAGAAATATATCTCTATGGGAGTGAAAAAATATAACTGGTATGGTCAATCTGACAATCCCCAGAACTTCCTCTAGTCTTCAGGGGCATACATCTACCACAGTAAAGAATATGGCTTGCACATCAGCCAATATTTACTTTGGGTAATTTGTACTCCAAGAATAATAGACATCAGTAGTGATTCAGTAAGTAAGGCTGGTCCATTATAAGCAATTATCAATATAAACTCAATATAAGAGCAGTCAGTAACAACCTTTATTACCTGATAAAGCAGAATTTAGAGGCTATAACTACATAACAAATAGCTGAATTACCAATGGATACAGTTGCATGCAATATATAATCTGCTTTTTCTATAATAAAATAGTAAAAAGGCAAGTTTATGACCAAAATTATCCTTATGATAAATTTTGTAGAAAAGTTGAATCCAGAAAAGAGCAAATTTAAATAGTAGAAATTTTCGAAGTTTTTTTTTTGAAACTAGGACCCCAGATACTCTGTGACACTGCTCAGAAATGTTTTGCCTATGTGACATGGCCAAAACATTTCCGAGCAGTGCGACATGGTCAAAACATTTTTCAGCAGTGTGACAAGGCTAAAACATTTCCAAGCAGTATGACATGGTCAAAACATTTTCAAGCAGTGTGACATAGTCAAAACATTTCTAAGCAGTGTCACACAGCTAAAACATTTCCTACCAGTCTGAAACCCTTCAAACATTTCCGACCACTCTAACATGCTTCAAACATTTCTGACCACTTTCAGATGGCTAGGATATTTTTCAATACAATATATCAACCCAAACATTTCTGGTCACAATATTGAAGGTGAACGATTTTTGCCCAATGCAATAATATATTTTCCTCCAGAGGCAAAAAAAATAAATGGCCAAAGAACCTATTAGCCTGGATATATACCTATATGTTTCAAGGCTAATAGCTTGTTCAAGGTGGGTGACTGAAGTGACGTGACATAGACAAATTAGCTGCTTTTGAAGGGTTAACTGATTGGTCACCATTGTATAGTTATCACATTATAGAGAGTGACATGGTCTAGTGCACATGACAGCAGTCATTTGTAGTTCTGTGTAGATGGTATCCAGTAAGTTGCAGCTTTTCTTGTGAATACATCTATAGATGCCTTGTTTGTTTTGGAAACTGATTATATAATACATTGAACTACAATGTATGGAATGAAATTGCCTGCAATCTTAGGTTACTTTTGCATTTTATTTGATGTAATTTGGAGTAGATATGACAGAGTTGTAGTATTTTCTGTCAGAATTGCTAGTGTAACCTGGGTGATGCGATGACAATTATACATACTGCTATGATTGCAGGGAATTTTACCTTTTTTCTGCATTTTATTCTATATAATTTGGAGTAGATCTGACAGAGTTACAGTATTTTCTTTCAGACTCATTAATATGACCTGCAGTGATGACATAAGCAATGACATACATGCAAGCTTGTCTGAGTCCTAGCTGGGGTTCAGACAAGCTTGCACATACATCATCACTCAATCATCATTTTTGCGAAAAGGAAGATTTATATGTATCTCTGCCAATTCTGGTCCAAATGACACGGTTTTTTTTGCAGTATGCACTCCTTGTCTGTGGGATTATTCTGAAATGAGAATAAATGTAGGTACAGTCATCCACCTGCTAATGATACACCTGAAATGAGAAATTACCTTCAACAAATTTGAGCACAACCTGTCTCTACCGAAACTACATGAAAATTTCAGATAAGTGCCCTTCTATGACCATACCAAATTTCAGAATGTTTGACCCACATTTCATAGAGAAAAACCAAGATTATAGGTGTATCATTGAGGGGTGTGCCTCTATTTGGCTATTTCCGAAAAACAGTCCATTTTGTATGCTCCATAGCTTTGCCAATTTTGCCTCAATTGCATCCAAATTATGTACAGTGGTAGATATGAGTTTGTACTATGTGTTACAACTTGTTTCGTAAAATTCGGTCTAGTATTGAGCGAGATATTTGCTAGTCAAAAGTGTATCAAATGGGGGTGGTGTATCGTTAAGGGGTGAATGACTGTAAATACAAATAAATAGTCTGAAACTAAATTTTGTAGTCTATTGGTAAACTTTGGTTTCTGTATATTGGAGTTGAACCCATGTGATATCACATGGTTTAAACATATAAACAGATTCACTGTGCACGCAGTGAATCTGTTTGCACATGTTAAATGCTTAGTGATCTCTTTTGGCAGAAACAAAGGTTTCTATATATCTCTGCCAATTCTGGTCCAAATGACACAGTTTTATGAGTCCTCTGAGTTTACAAAGAGACTCGTTTATTACCTGGGATCTCAAGGCTTTTTTCACCATGGTAACACTGAAAATTTCTCCCATGAAATGATTTCTTCCCATGGTTGAATGCCTCATCCTCCTCATCATATTTTCTAGTCAAATCTACCAAATAATGAACAACTGTTTCATATACATGATGAATAACACTATGCACCCTAGACCAGACTAAAATGACCCAATTGAAAACTATGTAAATAAGATAAAAATACCTGGTAATCAATGGAAAATAACTAGGTTGTCAGTTGAATGCCTTGTTTAATGGGCTATCTGGACCAGGTTGCTAACAGGTGAAAATAACATGTTATATGACGTAAAACCTAGGTATGAGCAACCTGTTTAACAAGTTTTTTAAGTAGTTTCACAGGTGATATAAACAAGGTGAAATGACTTGGTTGGCAGATTATTTTAACCCTTTTTTGACAGTCTGTTATGAGGGAAAAAGAGATAATTTCAACCCACATTTCTGTGATTCACCCCATCCTTCCTTATTGATATCATTGACTTACAACTATACTTACCATTGATTTAATTACTTTATGTTATCACTGGGACTTGAACTCAGAACTTTGTATCTTAAACTTTACCTTGCTATTGCCTGTGCACATGTCCATGACTTACCACTTAGCCATCGAGGGTATAAAAATCTAAACAGCTCATACACTATATAGCACAATTTGAGTTCACCCCCATGTGCACCCCATTGCAGCGCGAGGCAACATTTCATACCATATCAATTACCTGCATAGCAAAAGTGGGCTTGAAATATTCACCAAGAAAACAGGTCAAAATAACCTTGTAACAAGTACTTGGATTTCATGTTCAGTAACATGGTCATTTTAACTTGTTTACTGATACAGGAAATAACCCATTAAAAATACAACAAGTGAAAATTCCTAGGTAAAAATTACTGTTTGGGAAAAGGGAGAATTTCACCTGTTAAACAAGGCAAAAAAATAACCTGTTAGAAACAGGTCAAAACTACCTGTTTTGGGATAACCTGTTGAATACCTGTCAACCTAGTGATTAGTCAAAAAACCCTGGCACACCAGGGAATTTAATCCGATTTGGGGCGCATAGTGTAAAGAGTGGGATGAATGCAGCTGTAACACTCATAACTCCCTTTGTGCATAGAAAGTGGATATGAGGCACAGATGATGCAGGAACTATGTTTGAAGTAGCCAATATGATGGTAGCCAGAGAGTCAGGACAAGGGTGTTGCATGTGCAAAACACAAGTCACAACATTCTCCGAAATTAGGTTTGGACTGGCTAACACCATGCGGACATATATTCTCTCTATATACACATTCTAGTTCATCAGGTTTGGACTGGCCAAGACCACAATGATGGCAACAGTTAATGGGACACGTATGGGCACAACTCGACATACACTATTTGCAGTGGATTGGATAAGGTTGTATGGTGAGGATACATGTTGTGAATGTGAAAATTATATATGTGTGTTGCATATGAAGCTGTTTGTATTTGTTTTAAACCATGTGATATCACATGGGTTCAACTTCAGTTTACAGAAACCAAAGACTATTTCTTTGTATTTACCTATGCTTATTCTCATTCCACAATAATCCTACAAATAAGGAGTGCATACTGCAAAAGAAATCATCTCATTTGGACCAGAATTGGCAGAGCTACATAGAAATCTTCATTTTCACAAAAATGATGACTAATCAAGTTACTTTCCTAAGCATCAGAAATATCCAAAAATGATGTACTTCCCTTGTGGGCTACCTTTGATTTGAGGACATCTCATCCACTGGGAGTCTGGTTTGTGAAGGTTCACAGAACAGTTCAGCGAACTGGCTGGCAAACTCATACTTAGTCACTTTACAATGGTCGACAGACTGCAAGTCCTGAGCACTGAGTACTTGAGTCATTGTCGCCATTGTTTAGTATATAGCAATGGAATACATCATTTTACCAAGCCCCTCCATTCTTATCCTTGTCAAAGCACTTCAGTCACCCAGTGCCAACTGACTATTAGTCATGCAAACTCCACGTAAGTTACATGACTAAATGTCATGGACCATATCTATATTCTAGATATATATGGGTCCTAGAAAGCCCTGAAATCTAAAATATATTTTTGACACATGGACCCTGAAATGTCACACAAAAATTATAATGTCTGTGTCACACCACCAAAATATATTTTGCAAGTGAAATGCAGTAAGGATATATTTTCAGTGAGTGGACCCTGAAATGTCACTGTCACACCTTAGAAATATATTTTTGCCCTGGCTTGGCCTTAGGATATATTTTGTGATACAGATGTGGTAAGGATATATTTTTCTGGTCTGTAGGGGTGTCAGGGGTCCTAGTTTCAGCAAAAAACTTGTGATTTTTTCTTCTGTCTGGAGTATATATTCTGGAAGATTCTGCAATGACTTCCAGGGGTTTTGGCACTATGTCTAGCTGTGCTCCCAGTATGTATGTAGCAATAAGGGGCATCAATAGCATCTGTGATATACCTGAGTTGCTTAAGTATCATCCACTTCCAATCACACTATGAATACAGTTC